TGTCTTATTAACATATTGACTTCAGCTGTGATTTGATACAGCAGAAGTTTTCGTAAGGCTAATTGTGTTTCACTAGGTGTTTATTATATATACATATATATATATAGATGACACACTTATACATATTTACATTATTTATATATGAAATGTAACATGTGTTTAGGTTGCAAGTTGAAATAAAGCAGTGAAATTACAGGATAAAAGGCATAACATAATCCTCCAGAATGGATACGAATGAGTGGTCTCGGGTGTTACATAATAACGTAATGATGTTGTATATATGCGGCAGTTAACACTTATAATCTGGTTGGCCATTTACCTGTTTGCCATTTCCAAAAAAAAAAGAAAGTAAATAATTGTAATAAATCTGCTTACATAATATTTGAAAGACCCTTACGCCATCTCGTACTATTACTAAATAAAAATATACTAAGATGTACGCAATCACCTCAGTACCTAAAATTTGTTGTATGTTTTTTTTTGTTATTTTTATGCTATACAAAAATAAGCAACGTTCTGGGTTTTCAACACGAATTTTATTCATCTTTTTAAATCTAGGGTTGGCTACCGTATGTTAAATTAAATATAAGAATTTCTTGTTTAAAGTAATGGAATAATATCGTTACATTTATTATTAGTGTGTAAGATTTCAAAAAATAAGTAAATAATATAGATAACTATTGTAGGTATATACATCTATACATATAAATAAAATTGGAGTGTCTGTTTGTAATATTGTAAATAACCGTTTTTACTATATACATATGAATATAAATACGGCACATACACCAAAATAACATTTTTTAAATTTTTTGTCTGTCTATCTGTTTGTTCCGGCTAATATCTGAAATGGCTGGACCGATTTGACGGGACTTTCTTTGGCAGCTAGCTGATGTAATAAGTAACTTAGGATACTTTTATTTAAAAAAATAATATTTTAGAAAAATAAAGTTTTATTCCACGCGGATGAAGTCACGGGAACAGCTAGTATATATATATATATAGATATACCATAGTCTATGGATTCACCGCCTTATACTCTGTTCAAAGACAAAGTTAAAATAATTTATTAATAAATGACGGACTCACTTCATCCGTACGTCGTGGAAATTCCGCACATTCGCACTGAGCGGTTCGCGTCGTCATTTCTAATACGCACTGCCAAAGAGTGGAACACACTTCCAGCTTTTGTGTTCCCGGAGGAAACAACCCCGGATTCTTGAAGTCTATGGTGAATAGATTTCTTCTGGGTAAGCGCGTTCATCCTGGGTCTTGCCATCATTTACCATCAGATTAGGTAAGACCAAACGCAAATTCATTTGTATGAAAAAAAACATACATTAGGCACGTAGAAATAAACTTTTAAATTAATTATTTGATGTATCTACCGTATATTCTTTCGCATTTAGTGAAGCGCTGTTAATTTGAAATTGCAAACAGACTCTTTAGTTTTATTTATTTATATGGATTACTGGCACTATATATACTATACTAACTTTTAGCCGCGGCTTCGCTCGCGTTAATTTATCCCCTTAGGGGTGGAATTTATCAAAATCCTTTCTTAGGGGATGCCTACGTCATAGTAGCTTTATGCATGCAAAATCTCAGCCCGATCGGTTTAAAATTGACAAAGTTTCATATAAACTTTCATCCCCTATTTTATCCCTTTGGGGGTAGAATTAATCAAATTCCTTTCTTAGCGGATGCCTACGTCATAACATCTACCTGCATGCCAAATTTCAGCCCGATCCGTCCAGTGGTTTGGGCTGTGCGTTGATAGATCACTACGTCAGTCACCTTTGAGTTATATATATTTAGATGTAGGCACTGATTTTTTTTTATTTAACAAGTTATTTACCATTTGTTATACTTGAGTTATAGAAATAATGCAATTTTATACAATACTACAATTGCTTTGTAAATAATTGTAAAATATACATTCTATTATTAATAAGCTATTTATTTACATTAGATGTTTCAGTATTCAATCTAGTTTTCAATCGTTATTCTTTAGATTTTAGAATTTTCATAAATAATTATATATGTGAGCTCATGCTGTTTCAGCCAGGTCGACCTCCATGCGATCCCACTGCACACCATAGAATCCTGTTGAGATCATGTTTATATATATACTGACATGATTATGTAGCATAACTAAATATACGAATACTCATAGGTAGAGTATTGAAACTGTTAAATTTACTTGCCTCTACCTTTATATACCTATCATCATCTGCTTCTTCCTTATCCCATTTATTTGTGGTCGGCGTAATATGTTTTTCACTTCCATTCATCCCTGTTCGCAGTCATCTCGTTATTTACTTCCTTTCTTACCATATCATCTTTCACACAGCCCATCCATCTCTTTATCGGCCTTCCTCTGCCCTTGTAACCATCCACATTCATATGGAACACCTTTCTTATATCATTAAATAAATTACCTTTATATACCTATAATCAGCACAATAAAGTAATTCAAATTAAAAAATCATTTATTCATGTAGGACACTTTAGCCGCTTATGAACTTCAAATGTTTCATATATTTTATCCCTACCTTTCCAGTTAAGTATACAGATTCAATTGAGAAGAACTGGCAAGAAACTCAATTGGATTTTTTTAAATTGTTTGATTGATCGATTATGTAATCAGACAATAATTTGAGAATGAATTGTTTCGTTGATTGATTATGTAATCAGACAATAATTTGACAATGTACAATATATACTACGACAAACATTAAGACAATATTATAAAGACATTTTTGAGAAATCGCAAATATGTGCTTACCTCAGTCTTGTATTTATAAATATGTCATATAGGCCGCAGCCTAGGGGCGGCAGTGTTCTAGGGACGACAGATTTAAGAGGGAGGACGGTCACTCGAATTCAGAGGATAAAATCAAACAATTAAATTAGTGAAAATTATTATTTTAAAAAGGTACTAGCTAACCACTCCGGCTTCGCACGGGTGTACATGTATTATACATATAAACCTTCCTCTTCAATCACTCTACTAAAAAAACAGCTTCAAAACCCGTTGCGTAGTTTTAAAGATTTAAGCATACATAGGGACGGACAGACAGCGACAGCGGCTTTGTTTTATACTATGTAATGATATACATGCATGGGGCGGTGGAAATAAACTGACACTAATAAAAAATATAAATTCGGTACTAACTGACCTGACTGAATCCAGACCCCATTTTAACATACACCCGCCAACGTATACCATCAGCGCAGGTGGGTGTACTATACAATGAAAATCATTAGAAAAATGTCATCACATCATCGGTGTATCTTTAGAAGCTACATCCGTGGCCGGCGGGCTAATGTGTTTTTTTCGGACTACTCTAATGCTGTTGGCCGCAGCTGGCCTTTACAGCTTCATCGGACGATAGGGCGCGAGTTCAGATGGCCCTAACCCGCGGAAGGCCAACTCCCGCCTGACGGGTATGACTTTAGTTTGAGGGCACCGCTAAGGGCTCGAACCTCAGCTTAGGTCGTAGTAATTTCGATCCCTCTTTGAATTGAACGGAAGATCAATCGGAGGGGACCTATTTGAGTGTGAGAGGAAAGTTCTTTCGAAGAACTCTACCTGTACTCAGATTGGGGACTAAGTCTGCCAAGACTTTTCTCAGGAGACGACAGCATGGGGTTTTTCAAGGGTATATTAAGGTTTCTTGAAGGTTGGCAACGGGCATGTGCGCAATTAGCTATATTCTATTAATTTTTTAAATAAATAAAAAAATGTATGTGATATCCCTGATGTTTCAGGTATAAACGATAACAATTTACTATCAGATGGGCCATATGCCTGCTTGCCAGCACTATTATAAAAATCATACTCGGGCTGGGTTTTTTTTTTATTTTATTAGGTATATGCATTAGATTTCATATCTCAGAATTTATATAACATTTGAGATATAAATTCTGAAATGTAACGAAAAGTATTAAGAAAATATATAATATATCGAGTTATTTCTTCCCGCTGGCTATTACCTTTATTATTATTATACTGTAGATGCCAATATAATTGTAATGTATACATTCCTATATAATTAATAAAGTTTGATCACTCAGTTATATGTATTTTATTTTTATTATTTTTAGACAGAGAACGAGAAATTATGCGTGCGTTAGCAGCTTTTTAAAAAAAATATAATTTAAAATGGCGGACTATGGAGCATAAACATGATTATTCATATTTTTTTTTCATTATCTAAACACAATATATAATCAACGAGCCTCAAAACTGCTTAGCAGTTGCGCTGACCCCACTGAGTTATAACTCAGTAAAAGTAGTGAATTACTTTTAAATTTTATTATTGTATGGGCAACAATTGTATTGGTTTTTGTTTGAGACAAATAAAAAATATTATTATTATTTTACTAATGACATTTATCATTCGCGCAAACATACGCAAAAGATTTTAAAAAATCTTTCATGTGAATATCGTAGTTATACTTTCATATGCATTTAGTGAAACCTGTTAATTTGAAATTGCAAACAGACATTGTTTTTTTTATTTGTGTAGATAAGTTAATAATTTACACAAAACTTTTTGTCTCAGCAATTGTTTATTAATTACTAATTTTGTACAAAGACGACAAAAATGTCATAACTAAAATTAAGAAAAAAATTTCCAGGACTCGAGTGTAAAATCTCTAACCTACTGTACCTACTAACATCCTGTTTCTGCCTTCAAAATGAAACTGCTTTCAAAGGAAGCTGCTCGGCTGCGGAATTAGTTGATTCAGAGGTATTTGAGATGACTTTGTACAGAGTGCACTTTGGATAAAGTACTCACTGTCATATATGATAGTTTCATATGTCATACATTTATTATATGTTCATATCTCATGCAATGGGAGTTTATATAGATAATGCCTCCAGCATGAGTTAGTTTTATAGACTTTAACCCTGTTACCCGGGGGTTACTGCCCCAGGGGCAAAAGGGTTGAGGCCTGAGGCCTCAGCCTTCATCCCCTAGAAGAGTGTGGTTGACCAGTCTGCTCCTCTACATAATGTTTATGTTCATATCTGTTTGTTTGTGACCAGTTCACATCTGTCCATTCATGAACATGTTCATATCTATCAGGATATCATCGTCACAGTTGTCATCATTGTCCTCGTCATCTTCTTCCATGCAGAAGTCTGAATTGTTTTTATCTGAAATATTAAAGCTGTTAAATAAATGGTAAATAAAAGTCCAATCATAGGGTAATAATTTGGACCACAACTCAAAGACCCTATTGGGGAGAAAAGAAACCACTATCAATTCCAATGGTTCTAAAGCACAAATGGGCCTGCATGAAAGGGATATCTGATCTTCTATCTCTTCAGAATACTAGCATTCAATATTATTGCAATGATATAATAATGTTGGGTGCAGCTGGGTTTTACAGCTTCACCAAAGGATAGGAGGACCTACGCAGATGGCACTACAAAACTGCAGAAGGACTTATGGGCCAGCTGTCTGAGGACACTGCTAGGTGGTTATAACCTCGGCTCAGGCAGCCCTAATAGCGATCCAACTTTGAATTGGATGGAGGACCTATCGGAGGGGGCTATTTCCACATCCACCATCAGGTGAAATGTATTACATTTATTTAACTTATAATAATAATAATATTTATTGCAGTTATAGGTTGTGTGTAATTATTAGTTAAGTTGTACATAAGAGTAAATACAATTTGAACAAACAAGTGTAATTGTGCCATCTGAACTAGTATAGAATTATACTGTATCTTAGAAGGTGAAAAATGATTAATAATTAATACTTACGAGCAATAGTATCCTGAACACCTAAATTGAGCTCCTCCTCATTGCACAGAGCCTCCAGGTCCTCCATATTTACTGTTGGGTCATACTCAGTGATCTGGGTGCTCGATATTTGGGGATTCTTCTCCATCAAGGCACTGCACTCTTCATTCCTCAGAGGGCTTGTGTCGGTGAACCTGTCCTTCTTATTTTCAGTCTGAAGCTCTTGTTTTAAACTCACTTTCATACTCTCGAGATGTAAACGTTCTATCTAAAATTTACAAGAATTTATTTAGAAATGGAAAATACTTGTATGCAATCTTGATGCATACAAGTCTTGTACTGTTATATATATGTGGAGATGCACTACACCTAACGGTGAGAGTTCCTTTTTTTAGTTCTAATATCTTAGATCAATGACTATCCACCCGGGAGGAAGTACGAGTGGTGTGTGTGGGATTTTGAAACCTTAAGAGAAGAGAGTGGGGCTAGAGTAGGTGATTGATATCATATCTCTATAACGTAAAAATACACATGCCTCTAGGCCAAATCGGAAGAGAGGGAAAAGGGATTGTTAGTAATGTAGATTGTGGACTTCATTGCTAACAATGTCCCATCAAGTTGCCCTCTATGCAGTTCCCCCTGGAAACCATCGTTACAAATTCTTGGTGAATTTGTCACGATGTGCTAACTGACCTGACCTCATGCTCATCTTATCATCCCCCACTGGTGGGGAACCAGTGTACTGCCTGCTAACGTAAACTGTTATGCGGGAGCAGCATACCGTGATCTTAAAAACAAAAATTGGAAGAAGGTAACGTTAGAACGCCCGCCTCTTTCTGCAATTTCCTAACAGAAGTTACCGCCACCGACGACCTCTCGCATCTAATCATACACCAAACTACAATCGGCAGTGAGAAGTGAAGATTGGGAACTCCTGAACTAACCTGCAGAGAATTCCTTTGCGTTTTTATTTTCTTCAGAGCTGTCAAAATCCACTTCTTCTCCGCCAGAAGTTGTGATTCTCTAGCGACACGAAGACGCAATGATGATGTTAAATGTGTATCACTCATATTGTTTTGATATAAAAATACTACTTCATAATATTTATTGCTTACTGCAAATTTGTCTGTGGTTAGAACCACAGATAAATTACCTATTTCTGGACGGAACGCATTAAGTCATGTCAAGTCATTTCATGTTGTCACTGTCAAATCTCTTTGTCACTGTCAAAAATTTCGGGAATGTTCGCTGGTTTATATTTTTATCTATTTTAGTGATGTACAACTCGGAAAAAACACGACTCGAAACAAGTTGAAATTCGCGTAACTCGATTTCAAATTGAATTACCTTCGACCTAACTTGAGTTAGCAGCCATAACTGAGTGCATTATTGGTTACAAATAACTTTTGGCATAGGTGTTCCTTTATCTCCACCTCTTTGTTAGGACAATTATCATTACTGAACTCAGATAGATAAAAATGCGAGCATAATTTATACATTTCTCCATAGTTATTAAACATTTATTTTTATTAAGTACACTTATTTAATAACAAAACTAGAAAGATATATTACAATCGAGACAAAATGAAGTCAGTCCAAAGAGTAAAGTAAACATGGCAAAGAAAATCAGTCTAACTTTATAATTTACGTAGATAGGCAAAATAATATATATTTAAATAACTATGTTGTTTTAAATAAGAAATATGTTATAATGTACTAGATAATTCTTTTGCTGATTTTTGCAGTATTAACATTATTTCAATTATAATATTATTCGAATTAGAATATTACTTATTTAATTTTAATAAAGATTTTTGTAAAATAATTTAGTGAAGAAATCTATATAAATAAAATGGAGTGTCTGTTTGTAATATTGAAATAACCATCTTTTACTATATGCGTATGAATATAAATATGGTATATATACCAAAAGAACATTTTTTACAATTTTTGTTGTTGTCTGTCAAACAGACGGACAACAACAAAAACTGTTATTCCGACTAATCTTTGAAATGACTAGACCGATTTTGATGGGTCTTTTTATTGACAGGTAGCTGATGTAATAAGGAGTAACTTAGGCTACCTTTATTTCAGAAAATTTTCCTTCATTTTAGAAAAATAAAGTTAAATTCCACGCGGACGAAGTCGCGTATACAGCTAGTTACTAATATATTAAGTTAAGTCAAGAATCTTAAAAGTATTTTCGATAAGAAATAACATATAATGAACGAATGGCACTTTCGTTTGATGATGAGCTCTAGTTTAGCCTGACGGCAAATAAACGATTATTTGCCGCCATCGCCAGCCCCAATTAGAGTTAGGGAGAATTCAATTCGAGTCAACTCGAGTTAACTTGAGATGGCACATCTCTATGTTTGTGGTTGTCATAGTCTCAAACCTTGATAATCTAATAATAAATAACAATTTATAATCGTTGTTATATAGTTATTTTATTGTGGTAATAAATCTATTTGTGTTGTATTTTTTTTAATAAAATAATAGACATGGCTTCACGAGAACTGCTCGTTGGCCGCGACGTCGGCTTCAATTCAAGCGCAATTGAAGACATTATATTGAAACTGGGTTTGTTTTGTTTTTTTTTTATTATGCTATTATATACAGCTATGATGAAACAAGCTAACAGCTCATTTTGTAATGACCACCTGTTGTATATGCATTGCCATTCCTGAGATTATATTGTACTTTTTATGGTCACTGTCGTATCTCACCCTTCATACTAAAAACGGCTTACAAAGCTTGGTTTTAATAGTAGGATTTGGTGAGCCAGAATATGTAATATTATCTTATCTGTGGCCAGAGTTATGAGGAAAAAACGTATGATGTTTTCCTTACGGTGAGATTATACTTTTATGTAAGTCTATCTCTTTCTAGCCATAGCTAGGATACATATATCCCACGATCCTTCATTCCATTTCATTCCCATGGTGGGTGGTGCGTTGGCGGGGCACCACTGGATGATAAGATGAGCATGATCATGACAAATTCACCAGTAATTTGTTACAATGGATTCCAGGGGTAACCGCATGGAGGTCAACCTGAATGTACTGTAGCCCGGTGGTTGTCCTCATCACTGTAGCATTATATATGCTGGGATGAGGTGGCGCTACATAGTATATTATTTATTGTAGTATGTAGGTAGTGAGTATACCGGTAAATGATTGTACAATTTATTAGACATTATTATGTTTATTGGTAGTGTGCTACATGGCCTAATAATAATGTGTACAGTCGACGCGGAGTCGGAACATAGACTGATTTTACACTGAACTTATATCTATGTTCGTGGAGATGTAAACTAATGGAAGGGTCTCAAGTTTCGACAGAAATATTACAAGTGTAGGCACAGTACCATATATTATTAGCACTGGGATTATAAGTCCACATTACTGACAATCCACTTCCCCCTTCCATATATTATTATGGGTGATACTGGAATTATGCACCAGCCTGTGCTAATAGTTTATGCTGGCGGGGCACCAGTGGAGGGTGATAAGATGAACATGAGGTCAGGTCAGTTAAGCCCATCGTGACAAATTCACTATGGGACACATCAAAATAATAATCAATCTATCTATGGGACACAGTTTAGACACAGCAGTGCTTAGTAAACAATATTGAATTTGTCTTAATAGACATTATTAAATGCAATTATTATTTTGATGTATCTAGGTCACTGTGTCCCATATTCACCAAGAACTTATCACAATGGTTTCCAGGGGGAACCGCGTGGAGGTCAACCTGGCATGGTACATTGCTAGTAATGGGGTCATGAATCCACATTACTACCAATCACCTTCCCCCTCTTATAATAATATATTGCATTCACCAGGACATTGACAAAGCCTCTGACTAGCTGATTTGGGATAATATTTATGATTGATGTTGGTTTAGGAGATGCCTATAAAATACGCATAGTTTGGAACAAGAATGCTGTGATAGTGACCACATTGTCTGCGGTCGCTGGAGGGCTCGTCGGTGGTTATGCTGGGGGCAGATTGGGGGCAGCGATTGGTGCAGGTGTTGCAGGAGTCACTGGTTATGGAGTCTACAGTGAGTTTGCTTTATATCTTTTACTAGCTACTCGCCCCAGCGTACATGTATTATACATATAAACCTTCCTCTTGAATCACTCTATCTGTTAAAAGAACTGCTTCAAAATCCATAGCATAGTTTTAAAGATTTAAGCACTCATAGGGACAGACAGACAGTGACAGCGAATTTGTTTTAAACTATGTAATGATATATTGTTTTCATTACGTCCTTAAACTATTTAACAATTAATTGTTAAATATTTATGTTATTTCCTTACTATCATAATTTTCTCTATTCACTTTTAATAAATCTTGAGCCAAAAGCTTGTATGCCATTCCAGGCAAATAGTATAATTGATCTAGCTCTGCTCCTTCTTACGTCCATATAGACTATCAAAGTTAACAATCCCCATATATACTATACTATATTATATGTTACTAGCAGACCCTGCAAACGTGGTTGTGCCATATAAATTAAAAAGGCTATTAAAAAATTGGGGTTGATGTTAGAGGGGTGAAAATTTAGTGTTGTATGTATTTTATAATGCCACATTATAAGAACAAAATAAAAAAATTGTGACATGTTGGGTGGAGAACCCTTTTCACTTAAATGTATGAAAAATAGATAATAGCTGATTCTTAGACCTACTGAATATGCATATAAAATTTCATAAAAATCGGTCTAACTGTTTCGGAGGAGTATGATAACTAATAATAAGAATGATCTCAGGACAATTCACACAGTGCCATCTAGACCTAAGTTAAGCTAGCTAAAGCTTGTATTATGGGTACTCGATAACTGATACAAATACATAGATATTTTTTTCGTAAATACCTAGAAAACACCCAGACTGATACAAACAATCATACTCATGAATACAGATGTTTATACCGTGCAAGGAGTCGAACCCGCGACCATCGGACGTAAAGCAGTGTGCTAGACCACTAGACCACCGAGGTCATCAAACTAAAATTGTGACACGAGAATTTTATATATACTATATTATAATTTCAGCATATGTCTCCTTGAGAGAGATCTGGGAGACTATAAAGCAGAAACTAATGGAGTTACTCTACATCGTGTACAATTATCTGCGGCGTTTGGATGTTAACGATTATCGTAGAGCCTACGACGTATTGATGGCCTCCAGCAAACGGGAACTAGTCTTCATAATACTTGAATTTATCACACAGAAGTTGGACCTCCAGGTGGTGTCAAGATTAACTGCGGCATAATCAGGGAAAGTAACATTATTTGTGCTGCTATTGTCAGCTATGGATTTGTACTGTTATATTATTTTCTTAAGGTGTGTTTAAAGCAGCTAGTAGGTTATGTTCCTTGTCATATTTATGTGAATGTTCTAAGAGAATTTTGAAAATGTCCATATGCGAGTAATTTATTTACATTCCCCTTGCCTTGTTTTTCATTCTAGTACAAAAATACAATTGCAAGTAATTTTGGATCTATATTCCCCTTGGCTTGTTTTTCATTCATTGAATTCATTCTAATACAAATACAATTGCAAGTAATTTTGGATTTATATTACCCTTGGCTTGTTTTTCATTCATTCTAATACAAATACAGTTGCAAGTAATTTTAGATCTATGTTCATAATGCATTGATTCTCATTTAGAATGAATCCGTCTTTAGAAATTGTGTTATCATAAAATATATTATTCTGTAGCGTTTAAAATGTATAACGATAGGAATAATACTAATTTTTGTTCAATTATGAATGAAAAGTTTTACAAAAATAACAAAAAAATGTATTGATACCTATGTGCCTATAGAACGGAAACGATTATGTGATAATGTTTATTGAAGTGTTTACATAATTTGTAAGAAATTATATTGACAGAGAAATTAAACTTAATTTTGCAAATTGCAAATCGTGACTAGTGAAGTCGATTGTCACTAAGGTAATTGGTGGTTTACAGTTTTGTGTTATTTTTTTACTTAGTATGTAAATAAATAGTTTCGGCAAGTTTGAACATATCTCTAGATGTAGATGGACTGCACATGTTATCTAATCATTTACACTGAGATCAATCCCCCGTCCAATTCAAACGGGGATCGATATTACAACGGCTTGCGTCGAGGTTCGAACCCCTAACGGTGCCCTCAGACTTAAGTCGATTCCGTCAGGCAGGAGTTGGCCTTGACTTCTGAGGGTTTGGAATGCCATCTGCACTCGCCATCTATCACCTGGTGCAGCTGTAAAGGCCAACAGTATTAGAATAGTTCGAAAAAAGTCATATTGTTCATACAGTTCGAACTATTGTAATAGACGTGTTCGATCATACAAATAAGATATCTGCTATTCTGCAAGTATCACTTACGAATTCGAAAGCGGAATTCGCGTGAGATAGTACATTGGTATTCTGTAAAACTCGACAGCGACTGCAGCGCCACGCTCGAGAGCGGGATAGAGGTGAAACAGGCACTGGTGATTTTTTTAGAAATATAGGCAAACTCAGTAGCTCAGTAGGTACTATATATTTGCAAATGGATACAAGAGACCTGAGTGAAGCGATGAGTGAAATGACTTGATAAAACGCGGAATACCAATGCTGTTCGAACACTTATCGACTTTCACAGATCAATCTAAGTTTAAGGATGCTACTGATGTTTGTTTAAAGATTGGACATACTGACGCTGTTATCCCGTAGGAACATGCTCGAACTTGCCGGCTATTGTTTTGCCTATCAAATAGGAAACTAGAGAATTTTAAGACTAATGACAAAAAACATAAAAAAATGTACCAGTTGAGTTTCTTGCCAGTTCTTCTCAACTGAAGTAGTTTGCCGAACTGGAGTAGTGTAGTGATAAGTAATTGACATGAAAGTGGCTGTAAAAGTTAACAAGTTTGAGTTAGTTAAGTGATTAAGTAAGTTTTTCAGGTGTATAACAAATTTGCACAACTTATTAGCTTTATAGACGGCCTCTCTCACACCGCTTTATTTCCGATGGTCGGGTTCGATTCCTCGTACGGTACAAACATTTGTATTCATGCGTATGATTGTTTGTATCGGTTTGGGTGTTTTCTATGTATATTATGTATGTATCTAGAAAAAGAAATTTAAGTATTTTATATCAGTTGTCCCACGGTAAGCTTAGCTTGTGTGGTCTAGAATCATACAAGCTCTGCTTACCGTGGTACTAGATGGTGCTCTGTTAATTGTTCAGGATTATTTATTTATTTATTATTTATATCTACAGAACACTCTAATAATTTCTGAATTCTACGATTTTATATATTCCTTATTGTAATTTTAAATACAAAATTGAAGTAAATATTAGAAATATTGCTAGCAAAGGATTATCTCTAAAAGAGATCCCTTCCAGTCAACCCAAAACAACATGGCACAGGAAATGATGTGTGGGTAAATTGTAAGAAATTATTATGTGGTTAAATACATTTTTCTTTTATATGTGTAAGTTTAGCTCAATATTAATGTATTATTGTGATTTGACATATCAATTAGTTTCGTTAAGAGGGCTCACAGCGATGAGAATATATTGGAAATTGTATATACAAACGTGTTTAGTCGGAAAGGGTACACTTAACTGCCAGCACTGTAACAATACTAATAAGTAATTAATTGCGAGTGATAGAAATAAAGAAAGAAAAATATATTTATTTGGCACATACAATACAATCATACAACATATTACAAAATTGCAATTATTTGAATAAAGATTAAAATATTAAAAATAATATTAAAAAAAAATAATAAAAAACATTAAAAAAAAAAATCTATAATATGCCACATCTAGTACATGATGATCTGATACATTTTCATATCCTTGCTGAGGCCATCTATGCGCGGTAAGCAACCAATAAATGTTATCATTGATGCGGGTAGTTACTGCGTAGACTTTGTTACTGCACCGTTCATTATATATGACCTTCTTTTGTAACTATATAAAATAGTTATGCTTTTAGTTCTCATGTTAAGTGAATTATTTGTAATTCTTAATGAGAATAAATATCTAAAACCTAATATAAAATAGTTATGCAGTTTAAGTAATATTATTTATGCCAGACTGTTTGAACCCTCTCACTATTTTGTGTGGTGCTTATTAAAAAGTATTCTTTTTAGTAGCTTAGGATCATTAATGCATTAGGGTTTTTATTGAATAAAATTCTTATTTCTATCATTCGTTTTTTTTCTTATGGAAAGTCTGTTTTCAGCCAGTTCTACAGTAACTGTGATTGGTAAAAGTTTCAGTTAGACGGGCTCGGTGGTCAAGCGGTTTACTAGTTTGTGCCGTGCGAGGAATCGAACCCGCGATCATCGGAAGTAAGGTGTGCCAGACCGCTATACCACTGAGGCCGTCCGTATAATAATATAAAAAAGTTGTATATTTATTATACTTTACCATTAGATGGTCGTCCCATCATCGTAAAAAAAAGTAATTACAATATAACACTTTATTTCTCCAGCAGTGGACAGCATAAGATTATGAAATGTAACGTAGGTGTTGTTCTTATTAAAAAAAACTTGATAAGGTAAGTGAACGTAGTCTCCGGTCACCGTTGACCCTCAGATGGATCGTATTTTTGTTTGTATCGTAGTATAAAAAAAGTTGATTCATATTTTACAAAATAAAAGACGAGGGAATGACGTAAAATATTTTTATTACCAGTGCGAAAACATGTAACTAATGAACATGAGCCTACGAAGGCAAGTTCTAACTATCACAATTCCTCCATCACTTCATCACACTGACAAGCATTTTGTACACTTTTGTATCACAATTGTCACATTCATACGTAATTGTCTATTATCATATATATATGTTAGCCATGAAAATAAAAAAATCACATTGAATTATATGAAAAACTAACTGTGAAATTAAAATACATAAAATTTCTAAAATAAAAGTAGCCTATGTTATTCAATAACATTAGTTATCTGCGAGCAAGTCTTGTCAAAATCGGCCCAGCCGTTTTGGAGACTAATAAATAGACAATGAAAAAAAAAGTTGTTGATGTAGTACCCTTTATACGCATTTAGTTAAAAGCTGTTAATTTGAAATTACAAGAATGCACTTTAAGTTTATTTGTCTAAATAGGTCATGTCACCATCAATTATACATTAAAACTAAAATATAAAGTAGAAAATGTATTAAATAAGATAAAAAAAATGTAATCGTATTTTATTATCTTGGGTTTTATTCTTTATGCGTATCAATTTGATATCAAATATATTGATTTAATTTGATAAAGACCTAAGGGTCTTTACCCTGGTCACACATTTCCGATAAGAATCGGACGGCTCAAACCGTCTAGACTTAATCTGATAATGTGACTCCACTCTTAATAGTAAGCATGTACAAACCTATTTAAGTCCATATCTGCTTACCACATACGCATTATTAAGCACATATAGATGTACAGTATTACAATACAATAGCTTGCATTAAATATTATAAATAATTAAGATTATATTTCAGTGGGAATGTCTAAGGGTGTACAAAGTATGGAATACGGTACATTTTCAACAATTGTAAAATAATAATAAAATAAACATTTGAATACTTAAGTATCTAAATACTTAAATCACCTATAGTTTGACTGACAACAACAAAACAGGTATTTCTATAGTTATATGTAATAAACTGTTGGTTTATTACCTGGCCACACATTATATTCAGTATGACCATTGCCATATTATGTTGTTACTGTTGATAGGCGCTTTTGGCTCCACGCTCCGCCTTCTTTGTTTATCCGCCAATCAGAACAGAGTATTTTATTAAAATCTTACGACTGCAACTAATAATGTGAAGCCAGATTAATATACCAGTACAATTTGGGGAAAACAATTACAAATTCTTACTAGCATAATATTGACCAACTTTGATATTACAATGTATACAAAATAAGTTATAGTATAAGTAATATAAATTAAAAAAAAAGTGACCCCTAACACAAAGAAACAACTATAAAAAGTTAAAAAAATCCGATGACTTTGAAACGCTTACACAGATTTTAATAAATCGTAGCTAAGAACTATTTCAATCATATTAGCTTCCAAACAAAGAATCCGCGTCATAATCAATCTTTCCGTTTAGGAGCACGATGCTACAGACAGTTTCAGACTAGGACACACAGACCATTTACATCGGCGATTAAAAATGATACGTTATTGTAATACTACGAAAACTAATTTAAAATTCATGTTGGTGTAAATTAGATTTAAAAAATCTATAAATCTGTCAATAAGTATAGTCAGTAAGTCAATAAATAACATTTATAACTAAGTTATACTTAAAATTAAGTAATTCAACCATTTACCCGTGTTTAATTAATTGATTTAAATAATTACCATTAAAAATGTCACAATTTAAAAATATTTGTTCATGTAAATGTCATGAAATAAAAGTTGAGATTTCTTCTGTTACAAGATAAGGAACCATTTAAATAATTTAAATTTAAAACTTTTTTTGTTATTGTCTTGGCACCCTGGTCTATTGGCCAAAGACAAAAAAATGTTTTTAAAACAACAAAAATCCTCAATATTGACACAAACCACTTGCCAAAACGAATCTAATTTGACCAAATAAGCATGATAAAAAATATACACGTGAATTTGAAAAAAATAAACTCGTTTTGACATTCGTCCATATTGAAAATTCCACAATTCAGTGTCAATAAAAAACTATTAATAATAAATAAATAAGTACACTGGTCATGAATCGTGATTTTAAATCTCACAGATTATAAATGTGTATATGTTTAAGTACTTATTTTGTACAGCGTTGCGAGTGCTGGTGGCAGCAGATGAATACTGACATTTGCTTATTTAAGTATATTACAAAATAATTGTGCCCATTATGTGACTTTTTTAATTTATTTTAGCTATCTACTCAATCGGACTAAACATGAAACCTTTTTGGAGAACTTTATAGTATAAATCTGACTTATTAGGAATTTAATATGAGGACCTATATAAGCCATGATCTCAATTCTATTAATGGGACTACTTACGTTAAAAATTATAAGCTAAATTGTTACAGCCACTTTATAAATGCTGAATAGGAAATGTCACAAAAAATAACATAAAAATATTCTCAGTTAAATATGAAATAATTTAAGTACTTACATCTAAATTAAAATTGTAGGATCTATCCCAAAGTCTTCAATAAATAGGGAATAATGAGTTAAAACTGTGCAGTATTTCACGAAATATTTTAACAGTAATGTTACTAGGGTAAATAAATAAAATTTACTTACACTATCAATATTATATGTATAGCCTGTTTTTCTATTTCGGAGACTAAATTGACAGGTGGAAATGTCAAATAATGTTGCCAGCTACCAGAGGGGTAGTGAAGTACCTACGATACCGATAATAATCGTAATTTATCATGTTAGATGTTAAGTTTTAAAGTTTTCACAACATATTTACAAAATTACTTACGTATACGTACACTAATGTTTCCATTACTGTCTTTATATTAAACAACACAAAAATACATATTTGTGGTTTCCACACATGTAGTAATTTTAACGGTATTAAGATGCAAACTATCCATTTTTTTCTTATATTAGCTAAATATTTTAAATATGTTTTATGAAATATGTCACCATACAAAGGTGATTTGTTTTATCAAAATGACAGTTAGTTTTGGTTTTAGACAAATATATGTCAATTAAAAATATATTTCTTTTAATTTAAATGGCTACCACTAAAGGAGGTCGATGATTTTGCCAACATCGTGGTTAGGAGACACAATGGGTTGGTTTACGGTTTTCTTGACTATGTTCGTAAAAGTTATGACTGTTTCAAAAATATATTTGAAAGCATTAATACTTATACTTTATTAATTAGTGTAAATTCATTTTAAATAAACACTCAAACATTATTTCTGAGTAACCTATAAAAATCGGTATTTAATATTATTCTTTTCGGTATTACTTTCCGATACTGCCACAACACTATTTTATGTCAAATTTGTCTCTGGAATAAAAAAACAGACTTTAATAGGCGCTGCATCGAAACTATTACTAATGTACAATGATTGTGGGACAAAGAGGCCACACTTTCTTTTTATAATAAAACTTGGACTGTGGACTTCCATTGCCGCATGAAAATTTGTACTATTCATAAAGTTTACAGTGGTCTGTGAATGCTTCTCTTAAATCTATGTCTATACACTCAGGGGCAAAATTAATAGGCCAACATCAAAAACTATATATATATAATTCTCTTGTCACAGTGTTAGTTGACATACTTCTCCGAAATGTCCTAGTCGATCATGATGAAATTTTAGATGTATATTCGCTAGGTCTAAGTTTAGCTTGTTATCTTATTTTTAACACACTTAAGGTATAAAGATGGCAAATAAATACTCACAACCCTTTCACCCTTCTATCATCAACCCCTATTCTTTAATAGCGACATTAATTTATATGGTAAAAAATGGGTCCTCTAGTATTAATACGTGCAGGTTGAGACGATGTATATATTAACGGATGACAGAAAACTGACGAAATAGACATTGTAATATTGAACTGGTGTGCTTAGTAGACGATATTTAGTCTTACTGGCCTTAATTGCAAGTATCTATATGATACATTTTTTGTACTATCATTTTAGATAAACTTAATAAAAATCTGTTGAAAAGTGGTAACTGTAGGGTAAATATATATAGGTTATGATTACCATAGGCTAAATCTGATAATGCAACATTGCTTGTATACGTATTTATACTGGCATTACCAAATAATCACCAAATATATACCAATTTTAAGAGAACTCACAGGAGGTACCGCAAGGGTGTATTCTTGCGCCACTTCTGACTTAGTATAGTTTATAAATGATATTTCTTCTAAATCCATTACTCTAAACTTGCCTTCATATTGCAATCAACAATAAGACGGTCAACAGTATTTCTGCTGTCGCAATGAAATACGTATTTTCTTTAATTAAATAATGAAAATAAAGCATTCTATACACACATCTCTATTTACTCTCTATTTTAGAATGACCAATAATTATGATGTAAATCTTGCTACATACCGCATACGATTATCACCGTTACACCGCTAGAGTTAAATACTAAAATAGAATAAAACGGAAAGAATAAATGTACCTGCAAGAGCGGGATGTACCTGACACAGGTATTGCTATGCTTACTACGTCATCCAAACACTGTGGAATTTAACCGATTTTTTTTTAAAGAAATAAATTTTCATTTTCAAATAAATTGGGGTTGGTCTATTAAGTTGTGCCCCTGAGTAAACTATATACCCTTTTTTGTGTTATAAGCTCACTGGGTGTCCTCCATAGCGTTCTTAAGCTCCATGGCGAGTTTGTACCCTAACTCCGGTCGCCTGTCTCTGCCTTCCACCATTGCTGCCACCTGTTGGTTACATATAACATTTTTAATCATTACATAGTATAAAACAAAGTCGCTGTCGCTGTCTGTCCGTCCCTATGTATGCTTAAATCTTTAAAACTACGCAACGGATTTTGAAGTGGTTTTATTAATAGATAGTGATTCGAGAGGATGGTTTATATATATAATACATGAACACCCGTGCGAAGCCGGGGCGAGTACTAGTTAACCAATAAATAACTAAAGCGAAAACAAACTAGTAATACACGGAAAACTGATTTAGCAACTGAATCGAGGACTTTTAGCGACTCGACTAAATAAACCAATGCGGTGTCATGTACATAATTAAAAAAAGACATCGACGGAAGAAAGTGGATTGTCCGAACTTGGAAAAACCCAACTTTACCCGCCTCCCCTCCAGAAAAAAGAGAGGGGATGGGTATTAGAATGAACATAGAATAATTTATATTAAAAAAAACAAATATTTTTTATAAAGAACAAAACAAATAAAATATCTACATTTCTGGTCTGGTCTGTTCGGGTTACGAACACTGATATAATAGTGAATAGTGTATATTTACTTTTGTAATAGCACTGTCTGGTGGTCACTATACGGAATAGAGTTTTGAGACGATTTTGACGGGACTTTTAATAAGAACTTTAATTTCCTCGCGGACGAGTCGCGAATACAGCTAGTTTCAAGTCATAAAAGACTGCATACCTCGTCGGACGTAACAATGACGCCATTGTTGTTGACGATGGTGGCCTTGGTTTTCTCGATATCGGCAAGGTCGACCCCCCGGCTGGCGTCATCGATCAGCACCGCGCGGTACCCAATGGCAAGTGCATCCGCTATAGTTGCACCTATCAACAGAACACATTCGGTTTTATTACAAAAAATCTGTTGAAAACTCAGACGAAACGTGGTGTAAACCATTGGTTTAAACCACTCCTACAGTTAATACTTGGAATAAACCTAACATTATTATGAATCCGGATCTAAGAGACCTGCTTAGTACTACAGTTAAATCGTTCATTATATATTCCTGACACAGATAATATACAGAAATCAGTCACTCATGTCAGTCAGCGTACAATTGCGTTTTGTTTTACCAGAAAACTGAAATTATCATAAATAATATTACTTCAAAGAAAAATGTATAAACTAAAAAAAATATTAGTATTTTTCTGTCTTCATTATAACTATTTCATTAATATATAATATTTATTAACGTACTATTAGGCTGAAAATCAGTTTTAAATTACAAGTACACGGAGAAAAGGAACGGCGAGATATTTTTATTGGATCGATCCAATGGTGACTACTTCAAAGTGAAAAGAGTGAAAAAAATAATAAAATAACATCTTTTATATATATTTATTATTGTAAAATTAGGTTTATATATTCTTAGTTAATATATTTTTAATTTAGTTAAGATATTTTTCAAAAAACGACAACTTACAATACAATTTTTAAAATGGAGTTCGACCTTTTGCATTTAGACCACTGTTAAACTAGGGGCATTCAACTAGGACATCTAACTTTAGACCAGAGACGAATCACGGTTTAGAGATAAACTTCATTTTGTAATAAGGAATACATTGGTGAATGGTTTATTACTAGTGCTAAACCAGGTTTATCTTTTTGCAATAAGACAGTTTATGTTTTAGAATAGAATTAGTAGTTAGTAATTTGTTTTGTGGTAATTGCGTAAGGTTTTACAACAAACTATCAGTGTCTGAAAAAAGATTTAAATGCCTAAAAAAATATCAATTATTATCATAAACAGAGGAAGCCATTTCACTTACAGGCAATCGTCACCGCTTACAGGGTCAAGCGTATAAGACGGGTCGTATGTTCATCATTATATTACAAAACCATTATTACCAACGCAGACGTCATAAGCGAGTCCACAGATGAAAATATCGGTGGCTGCGCGCAGTCGCAGCTGCGAGATGAGACTGGTGTCGGTCAACTTCTTGTTGTCCCAGAATACAGAATACGAGTCCACTTCAGGGTTGGTACCCTTGTACACCTTCACAGCACCCTCCACTATCTGCAATTGTACACTTTATTACTAACTCCTGACGGTAGATTTGACATATCATAAGAGTCCGCGTTGTCCCGTCCCGTCCCGTACATTCCCGAGTCGGGGTGTAAAATAAATTGACACAGAATTTAAATCTGAAGAGGTAAACTAATGGAAGGGTGTCAAGTGTTGTCAGAAATATTACCAGTGTAGGCATATATTTAAATTTAAATTTATTTTAATAAATACACATAGCAAACACCTAGACCGATAGAAACAATCATATATATAATACAAAATGTTTTCACCATGCGAGAAATCCAACTCGTGACCATCGGCAGTCAAGCAGTGTACCAAACTGCTAGATCAGAGAGGCCGTCAAATTACAGTAATCATCGTAACCTATCGTAGGTGTACCTTGAGGTCCTTGTGCAGTTCAGCGCCCCACGTGTCCTGCACGCAGTGCCGGGGCCACAGCCGCTGCTTCATGGGCGGGGGACCCGCAAACACCACCGTATCGTACGCTTGGGCTTTATCCGCTGGAATCTGCAACATCAATTCAGTTTATATTTTTTAATCTTCTTTCGTTTCAATGGCAACTAAAGGATATACTGGAATTACCCTTAAATAAATTCAAAACATCTGTTAAATCATATTTACTGAGCAAAGCCTAAACGATTACTTGAATGACGAGCGTATAAGGCAATAGTAGTTCATGCACGGGATTTTCATTTAATGTTAGACATAGACACCTTTATAAGTAAACATTGATATAAACTGGTTTTTTTAAAAATAAATAATAATTTAATCGTTAAGTTTCTTGCCAGTTCTTCTCAATTGAATCTGTACACTGAACTGGACGGTAGGGAAAAAAATAGAATATAAAAATGTTACGTTCATAGGCGGCTAAAATGTCCTACATTAATAAATGATTTTTTAATTTTAATTTGAATACACTTTCCCTATAATCTTGAGAAGACTTTTGCGCATTCGGTCGCATTTTTTAGATCTTCCTTTGTGCAGGATGACGGGCACTAAGGACAGGACGATAGGTGGGCCATAGTCTGGTGCTCCGCAGTCGCAAACCTACCTTGAATCGTGGTGTACCTTGAAGCGACACCTCATTTTACTAAGTTGTACCTGAACGGTTTAACTAGGTTTGCAGTCTGTTAAGCAATTTCCAAGTGGACCATTGCAGGTCAGGTGTTCGGCTGATTGAATAACGTCTAAAGGAGGTAATGTAATGGTGCACTATCTAACAATAACAATACTGGTTGATCTATGAACCATCCATCCACCAACCATCGACCACCAGGCGAAACGATGCTAATGTGCACAGAGCTAATTTTCAGTCGGATGCTTGGATCGAAAAATATTGCTAATAACGCGAGCTGCTTATTTAACAATCCATGTGTTTTATATTCTTCTTATATGTAAAATTTGTATATGAGAAGTTACCATACTTCTCCAAACAGCTTAAAAGATTTTGATTAAAGAGTGACGCCAAGCTTAGTTCGCATTTAGCATAATGGTCTACAGTTAAATTATTGGTTTTGGGCTAGACTTCATAATTATTAGAATCGTATGTCCAAGTACCAGTTCTGAGGACCTTTGTCTTCCCGAGATATAGCGTTCTAAAACTTTGGAAGCTATCAGGTGCTGCCAGCGGCGAGTGTGCGCATGACCCGCGCCCCCCAGAGACCCTTTTGGCTCTACACGCACAACGGCCCAAATGAGAGGCTAATTGCGGAGAATAGAGTCCACATTACATTACGTTTTAGAAGGCTAAAACTGGTGTGCTAACCGGACAGGAGGGATGCAGTTCCCGCATATGCACGTTGTCTATGAACGAGACGTGGTCCGGCGGATGCCAGTCCAGAGAGTAGAACACGCAGTCGAAGCTTACGGAGTCCAGCAGCCGGTTGATGGGCTCCACCACCTGAAACAGCCAAATATAAACAATTACGGTCAGCCGCTTTGGTTAGCACTCAATCAGATGAGATTCAGAAATCTAACCCAAGTGATGATCACGTAAGGTAATATAACACCATCGAGATCTCTATCTCGACCATCAGCATCAACCAAATAGATATTGCAGCATCAATAATAGCTTTTATAGCTGTGCATCATCCTCCTTCTATTTCATACTTCTGTCAACACTCGGCACCGTTCCATTAATTTACGTCTTCACATAACTTATTGTACACTCAACGCAGAGTCGTAACGTGGGCGGACCCCACGTTACGACTCTGCGTTGAGTGTAAACGTTACTAATGAGCCATGTAGCACACCATCAATTAAACTTACTAATGTAGTAAATTTATTACTAAAACCTCCAGAACATGTATACAGAATTTCATGATGAACGGTTCAGTAGTTTCTGCATGAAAGCGTAACAAACATCCCTACTATCTACTATCTATACATCTATACATATAAATAAAATTGGAGTGTTTGTTTGTAATATTTAAATAACCGTTTTTTACTACTTGCATATGGATATAAATATAATAATAAATATTTTTTACAATTTTTGTAATTAAAAAAAATTGTAAAAAATGTTATCAGACATTTGAAATGGCTGGACCGATTTTGACGGGACTTTTTTTGGCAGGTAGCTGATGTAATAAGGAATAACTTAGACAAAAAAGTTAAAGCCATGCAGACGAAGTCGCGGGTACAGCTAATTCATAATATTAGTTAGGATGTACACAAAGTTTGAAGTTGTCATATGTATATTAATTGTACGTAATAACTCACCCCTGTAGGTAAGGGTAGCTGTATTATGCCACATTTGGGTCTACAATACTAAGCTGTATTACGTTGGAATTAGGTCTAGATTTAGACCTAGATACAATTTCCAGACATGCAACCTTGTGTTTTACCTACAAAGAATTGATTGGAGTACACAAAAGCTCTTTGTACGGCAAAACTATACTTATTACCTTCATTTATAATTCGCAAACGTTTCATGCCTGCTTGTATAAGCAGGCATGAAACGGTTCTATGGTCTAGCGGTTTAGCACAAGGACTGACTTCCGATGGTCGCAGGTTCAATTCCTCGTACACTGCCTTCATTTATAATTCGCAAACGTTTTATGCCTATACGGCTTACTATAGTATATTATATACATTAGTAACTAGCTACTCGCCCCGGCTTCGCCCGGGTGTACATGTATTATACATATAAACCTTCATCTTGAATCACCCTATTAAAAAAACCGTTGCGTAGTTTTAAAGATTTAAGCATACATAGGGACGGACAGACAGCGAGAGCGACTTTGTTTTATACTATGTAATGATTAATGCACAAATACAATATATGAATGTACATAGTAACCTTAACACCTAAGGGATCTTCTCAATTTGCGTTATGGTTGACTGGTAGAGACCAGTTAACCATAAGGCCAACTGGGAAGTTAGTAAGCGGCGCAATATAGTTTAGAAACATTCTTACGTAGTAACTTTACGTCATAATTTATATACAAAAAATTCCAATTTAACAATAACACATTTTTTTAATGGATGTTAATGGAATGGTGTTCCCGCTACCGTGCACCGTTACCGCAGCAACGGTATACGCTGGCGAGGCACCAGTGGAAGATGATAAGATGAGTATGAGCTCAAGTCAGTTAGCCCATCGTGGCAGATTCACTATGAATTTATCACGTGGTTTCCAGGGGGAGGTGGAGGTCAAGCTGACATGGCACATTGCTAGCAATAGGCTCATCAGTCCACATTACTAACAACCACTGACTGATTTCCTCTTATTAATTATTTAACCAGTTGTTGTGTATTCAATATTTTTTCTATTTGATTATTTAATTGAATTACTGCTAATCGGTAGTTTGTATTCACACACTTAAATTGTAAAGTAAGAATAAAATTATTTAAAAGAGCAACACACAAGTTTAATGCTCGTTCTTCTTGTGATGAGACAGCTTTCCGAATGAGCGGTAGATTAAAAAAAATGTGATGACTATTCATAAGTGCTTCAATGTAAGTTTATTTGAATAAATGATTTTCTATTCTATTCTATTCTATTCTAATTCCCATCCCCCAATAATACATACATACATACATTAGACATACATACGATAGATACATAAATGTAAAAGTGTATCCTTCATATTTGACGGCCTCTACGGTCTAGAGTTTGTAATGTCCGGGCATTAAACCAGGCCACGACGCTGAACTGTTCCGTCAACATCCACAAATTTGGCACAAACCTAATCATAACCGTGTATAAATCCACGGGTCGCGCTAGTATCGCTATAGCGGAAGTGGCAACTTGAATTGTAACCTGAACAATGCGAACCGAACACAATGGACAATTCACCTTCAAACTTCAATGGTTCATAGCATTTGTTAATAAATTACCAATCATGTGGTTAAGTTAAATACGTTTACAACATTTAAAAAAGAACTCCCTGTTTTCGTCCCAATTTTAACGGTGTTAATATCATTTTCATTATTTTTTATTAGGGGTTTTGTGCTATCGTTACGTGCTAAGACTTTTAGCACTGCGACCTGCATAGATGTACTGTGCCCGCCCCTTTTTCAAAGTTCTCTTCCTAGACCCGTCAGGGAGAGGAATTGAAGGATATTCTTATCTCTTCAGGATAGAGTGTAATTTTTTCCAAAGGCGATATTTTATACAAGAGTGGGCTACAACCACATAGCATGTGTAGTGTCGTTTCCTCTTCAGCTTGGCAAAATCTGCAGATTTTTTTTGAGCACAGGCCTAAGTTTGCCATGTGTTTATTCAATTTGCAGTGTCTAGTAAAGGCCCTATTCATGATGGATATATTGTTTTTACAATAGCAAACTATCGGAGACTTGATTCGAGTAGCCCGTTATTAGGACTTTTGAATGTACTAATCTTGGCTTCTGCCAGTGATTCAGGGCTTCCTGTTTGGTTATTAGTTTAAGAGGTCCCACTTTTAGGTAACGGGGCACGCCAAAGAAGGGTTCAGGGTCCTGTTGGGCAGTTTTTGCCCCTAAAATTGCCATTTAGCTAATATTATTACTAAAATCGATAAATTGTGAGAGAGGAACGTTGGTATTGGGGATTGACGGCCATTGAGGCTAACAATATACCATTTTAGACCGACTCCATTCTTCTCCCCGGTGCTCCTCGTAAACCATCGAGGTTACTTCCTAGATAATTCGCTAATATCAATATCGGTATATCTAAAAACTATAACATTCTATAACAAATGGTTGGGGGAGTCAAAAATTCATATAATCATAATCATGGAATCTAGAAAATTTGATGGTTAGGCGATCAAATTTTCGGGGGAAGTCTTAGAAAAGGTGACATCATATTTCAAGTTTAGATAAATAGATTAGACGGTTCAATTTGGTGGTCTTGCGTCCTCTTTTCCGGTGGCCGTAAGTTCAATTTCTTTGTATTCATCAATATGATTGTTTGTATTGGTCTGGGTGTTTTCTATGTATATAGGTAATTGTAAGACTTGTTTAAAATCTTTACACAAGCTCTCTTTGTGGGAATTGTCCAGAGTGATTATTATTCTAGATAACCAACTGAGAAGTCGTTAAATCCTAAAAATAACTCGAGTTCCGTTTATAGTATCTGATTATCTAAACCGTATGCTCGTATAACCATTGCATCAAATGTCAAGGACGCTACAGCCGTCTCAAGAGAAATAGACAATGTGTACAATCTGACTAATACAAAAGAAATTTAATTTTGGTTACTGTTTCAATTTCAGCCGAAACTATTTTTTTTTATAATGGATATATACCCAAATAGAGCACCCATTATACTTTAATTTTAGTGTTCATAGCGCCTTAAACTTAATTACAATAACATGCTTGGCTGCAGAAATAAGTGAGACATAGGTACCTATAACATAATAATAATATCCTGGACAATTTACACCACACCATCTAGTCCCATCTGATATAAATACATTTTTAATGCATACATAATATACTTAGAAAATACAAACAATCATGAATACAGATATTTGCACCGTGCGAGCAATGGAACTTGCAACCATCGCAAAAGTAACGCAGTGTGCTAAACCGCTAGACCACTGAGGCTGTCATATGCAAAAGGCATTTTATAGTCTGTCTAGGTAGAAGAGGTACGGGTGGAACAAAACTATTTAGACCTAATAGGTATATTAAAGGTTTTTTAGAAGTTTCCGCGTAAATGGAACTTCGAAACTGAATAATTTTGTTGTAAAAGTTTCAGAGTGGCTAAAAATACACAAAACACCGAGTAAATTACCTAATTCTAAGTAAAGTCTTTATTACTTTGAAAAACTTAGTAACTTGGCTGCGGTTTTTTACCGGTTTATTGAGGAAATTGCTGTGAAAGTATTTAACACTTTCATAGTTTGTTGAAACGAACTATAACGTCAAAATCCTAATAATATTTGTTACGCAAAAGTTTTCTGATGACGGGTAAAAGGTTATGAAGTCCATTTCATTACTTAATGGATTTATACGCGAGTACACATTTTCCATGTAGAGATTTAAGAAAAGAAAGGAGTTATGATAAAAGGAAAAGTAGAGGAATTGGACTGACAATTGGCAAACCATTTTTACATTCCTTTTTATTTTTAATTAGCGGTTTGGGTTATTACTCGGTGTTAAAGAGAATCTGTAACACTGTGACCTGCATAAAGTGATCGCCCTTTTTTAGAGTTCGTTGCCTAGGCTTGTCAGAGACAAGAATTGAAGGAGATTCTTTCCTAAGAATATCCTTCAATTCTTGGCGATCGTTTTTATCTCCTCAGGATAATGTGTACTTTCCAAAGTAGATATTTCGTTTATATATGAGTAAGTTGCAACCACATTGCAGTTGTAGTGACGTTTCCTTTTCCTCTTCTCTGCGATTTGGCAAAATCTACAAATCTTTCTTAAGGATAGCCATAGGTTTCATGTGTGTAAATTTACAGTGACCAG